TCCTCCTCCTCTTCTTCCTCTTCCTCTTCTTCCTCTTCTTCATCTTCCTCCTCCTCCTCTTCCTCCTCCTCCTCCTCTTCTTCCTCTTCCTCTTCCTCCTCTTCCTCCTCCTCATCCTCTTCCTCATCCTCCTCCTCCTCCACCACAGACGAGGACTCTTCCTGCAGCTCGGACGACGAGGCAGCTCCCGCCCCTGCGGCCGGGCCCTCCACCCCGCCGGCGCTCCCCGCCAAGGCAGCCAAGCAGGCGGGCAAGGCGCGCTCCTCGGCCCACTCCGCGGGCAAGAAGGCGGCTGCACCCCAGCCCCAGGCACCCCCACCGCAGCCCCCACAGCCACTGCAGCCCAAAGCTCAGGCCGGGGCCAAGAGCCGGCCCAAGAAGAGGGAGGGCGTCCACCTCCCCACCACCAAGGAGCTGGCCAAGCGGCAGCGCCTTCCGTCCGTGGAGAACCGGCCCAAGATCGCCGCCTTCCTGCCAGCCCGGCAGCTCTGGAAGTGGTTCGGCAAACCCACCCAGGTAGCTGGAGTGTCCCGGTGGGGCTGAGGTCTGGAGGCCTCGTCTTTCCCTGGTAGGCTGACTGCTCCGTGTTGGGCCCCCCTGCCCCTCATAACTGCCCAGCAACCCCAGGGTAGAGGGCTGGCCTCCCATTTTACAGATGAGTACACTGAGTTTCAGGGTGCCCAAGGCCACCGTGTCTGTCTGACTCCAAAGCCTGTGTCCTTCACAGAGCAGCCCTGCCCTATAGGCTCGGGACCCAGAGGCACCCTCACATGGAACCCAAATGACGACCACGTGCAAGGACCAACAGACCCCTCCCGCGGGGATCAGGGACCACTCGAAAGGGTCTTCCTAGTCCTCTTGGCCAGACAGCCTGTTTCTCGTTGCAGTCCCTTTGTCTCTAGCCACCCTTTAGCTTCACATGGCAGCCTGCTCCAGGCTCTTGGCCCCCAGCATGGCAGTCCCAGCAGAAGGCCAGGGTCGGGTCATGTGCCCACTCTGAGCCCATTGGCACGGCCTGGAGAACAGAAAGTTCTGTTTGGCAGGCCTGGGTCCCATGTCCACCCTACAGTCAGGGGTAGGTCGTCCAGAAGGAGCCGTCCCAGCCCACCCTGTGGCCGTCTACCACCCAAATGCACACATGAACACATTCACATGCATGTACACAAACACATGTTCTCACACACATGGACAACACATACATGAATGCATATGTATGCACACTGCACACGTGTATACATGCAGGTGTACACACATGTACACACATGTACACATGTACTTTTCAGTGAAGGAAATCGGCAGTAGCTATTCTGGAAGCTTCCATGTGGAGAATGAGAACAGCCCCCGTGGTCTATTCCACACCCCTGGGCAGGAAGAGCCGAGCTCCTGGCTGGACGAGTGTGGGAGGGAGTCTGAGTTTGCAGGGTGGGCAGCCTGAGTTTTGCCCACAGCGCTGATCTAGAGCAGGTGGAGGTGGCTGTGAGCAGACAGCCCTGCTGGGTCTGCACCTCTCTCTAAGGCCCCTGTTCTCACCAGAGTTGGGGTTGACAGTGACAGGCTTGGGGAGTCTCTAGTAACACATCTCTTACAAACTTGGGAAGCTTCTGGCATATCTGCTCTGTGCCGGCTCCGTGGGGTGAGTCCACAAGGCTGGAGAAGTCGAGGAAGATTCTGAATGGGTTCTGGGATTTCCGTCCTTGCCCGCAGCTGTCGCGGCCCGCCCTCGGCCACCATGGGCAGCTGGAAATCCGCACGGTGGGAGAATAGCTCCACCTGCCCCAGGGTGGGCCTCACTGGGGCTCCCTAGAGTGGGGTGTTTCCTCTTCTGTCAGGCAGGGGGTGCAGAGCAGGAAGCCCACACGGCCACTGGAGCTGCAGCTCTGGTTTTCTTATTGGCCGCCCTGCCTTTAGGGCACTCACTTGAATTTGAGGACCCTGTGGGGCACAGGATTATCTGACTTTAAATCCTCCTGGCTTGCTGGCTGCAGGCCGAAAGAGCCTCTGGGGGTGGTGGGGGCTGTCACCACTTAGAGGCCAACCTGAGCTTGGAAGTCTTAGCTGCCCGTCCCATCTCAGACACGCTTCTCCTGTGCCTTGAGCCAAAGAGAACTTGAGTTCACAGAACACACATAAGAAATTATGTGGCCGGGTGCGGTGGCTCGCACCTTTATCCCAGCACTTTGGAAGCCAAGGTGGGAAGATCCCTTGAGCTCAGGAGTTTGAGACCAGCCTGAGCAAGAGCGAGATCCCATCTCTACTAAAAATAGAAAAATTAGCCGGACGTGGTGGCGCAGGCCTGTAGTCCCAGCTACTGGAGAGGCTGAGGCAAGAGGATCACTTGAGCCCAGGAGTTTGAGGTTGCTGTGAGCTGTGATGATGCCACTGCCCTCTAGCTGGGGTGACAGAGCGAGACCTGGTCTCAGGAAAAAAAAAAAACAAACCCAAAATTAGCAGAGTGGCTATTGAAAAGTCCATTACTACCAGGGATCCAGCAGATGAAAAGTAGGCAGGGGACAGCTGGATAAGGTAGGAAACCAGCACGTGGGCTTGTTCCCTGCTTACGTAAAGCATTTGACTGCGAGTCTGGCAGCCAGTGTGAGAAGGGAGTAAGTCTTAGAGTTTAGTTTGAGGTGAGAATGTGCTGGTTCCGTGGGAGGGCAGAGCTTTGCTTGGGCTGATTCTTGAAGGAGTTTCTCTCCTAGGATGTTGACAGCGGAGCTAGGCATGTCCGGGAGCTGCCTGGGGCACCTCAGGAAGTGTTTGTTGAGTGAATAAATGAAACCCCCAACACACCAGGAGGCCTGGCTGGGGCTGGGTCCTGCAGGTGCCTGGGCACTCAGTTGGAGGCAGCACCTGAGATTTGAAGTCCTCCCAGGGACAGCCTTTCGTCCACACCCCTGGGGGGAGGGGGTGGGTGTGACACCCCCTTTACCACTGGTTAGGCTACTTGGGGGGCCGACTCACACTGGGCCCCCAGCAGGGCTCTGTGACATCTGCCCTTCTGCATCCCACCTCCACATGGCCCTTCCTGCTTTTCTTGGGAACACATCCAGATAAGTCACTCTCATCCCAAGTCCTCATCTTAGCATCTGTTTCTGGGACAAGGACCCCCTTTTGACCTCAGAAACCCCCTGAGCAGAGTGATCTCACCCAGGGGCTGCACAGGGAGTGACAAAGGTGCGTTGAACGAGCCTTTGCTTTGGGACAGCCCCAGCACCCACTCATGAGGCTGCGGGTCGTGTGTGCCACCCTGTGCTCTGGCCCTGAGCCACAGTGGGGCCCGGACAGTGGCCATGGCCTCACACACACACCTGCCCCCGGGCCTCATTGTCCCTGCTGGCAAAGTGAGGTTGCTGGTGGCTGACTCTGCCTCGCAGGGTGGTGGCGGGACCCAGCGAGGAGCATGGACAGCGCTGAGGGGCAGAGGCCCCCGTGCAGGATAGGCAGGGGCGGCAGGAATACCTGTGCTTCCAGTGGGGCCCAGGCCGCTCTAGAACAGGGATTCAGGCTGCAGAACCCTTGGGTTGGGTGACCCGACACGTCAAAGCCACGGAAAAGGGGCTTCCCCGTGAGAGCAAGACAAGGGGCTCCCTCCCCTCTGCCGCCTCCTGCAGAAGCCCTGAGTTGATAGCAGTTGACTTAGAGGCCGAGGGACAGGGTCCCAGCCAGTAGGAATGGCCCAGCCTGCGCCCTCACGCCGAGTCTTGCCCCCGCAGAGGCGCGGCATGAAGGGCAAGGCCCGTAAGCTCTTCTACAAGGCCATCGTGCGTGGCAAGGAGCTCATCCGCATTGGGGACTGTGCCGTGTTCCTGTCAGCCGGCCGCCCCAACCTGCCCTACATCGGCCGCATCCAGAGCATGTGGGAGTCGTGGGGCAACAACATGGTGGTCCGCGTCAAGTGGTTCTACCACCCCGAGGAGACCAGCCCGGGCAAGCAGTTCCACGAGGGCCAGGTGAGCCGGCTGGGTTTCCACCCGCCCTGGGTCTGTGGTCTTCGGGGATGGAGGCCCAGGGCCTCGCCTAGCCTGCCTGGTGGTGGCGGCCCTGCCCTGGGGTCTGGGGTCACCCACAGCCCCTCTTCTGTCCCCCACACAGCACTGGGACCAGAAGTCCGGCCGCAGCCTCCCCGCAGCCCTGCGGGTCTCCAGCCAGAGGAAGGACTTCATGGAGGTAAGGCGGATGGGCAGGTGGCCGCCGCCTCGCAGGCAGCTTAGGCAGGGGCAGCCGGAGGTGGTGGCTCTGTCCTCTCTGCCACTCTGAGCTGCCCGGCTCCTGTTCCCCATCTCTCCTGGTCTCTGCATCTGTCTCTGTCTCTCAGTCTCCCAGTCTCTGTCTCGTAGTCTCTGTCTATTCTTGTCCTCAGACTCTGTCTCTCTGTTTCTTGGTCTCTGTCAGTCTCTGGGTCTTTCTCAATGTTAGTCTCTCGTCGTCTGTCTCCCTTGGTCTCCGGGTCTCTCTTGGCCTCTGGCCTCTCTGGCCTAGGAGGGTACCCCCCGCCCATCCTGACACCCTCTCGTGCCCGCAGCGCGCCCTCTACCAGTCCTCGCACGTGGACGAGAACGACGTGCAGACGGTGTCGCACAAGTGCCTGGTGGTGGGCCTGGAGCAGTACGAGCAGATGCTCAAGACCAAGAAGTACCAGGACAGCGAGGGCCTGTACTACCTCGCGGGCACCTACGAGCCCACCACGGGCATGATCTTCTCCACGGACGGCGTGCCCGTGCTCTGCTGAGCCTGCCGCGCCCTGCTGCCCTGCGGCTGCCTTGCGCCCCGAGGGCCGACAGGGCCCTCACTGTCACTGCCACGGCGCAGGGACCACGTGCGTTGTGTGCATGCAAGTGTGCCCGTGGGTGTGTGCATGGGGCCAGGTGTGATGACGCCCCGGGCGAGTGTGTGTACATGTGTGTGCCCGTATGCATGCACGTGTGTGCACACATGTGCACACGTCTCAGCCCGACTTCCCTAACCCCTCAGTGCCCCCAGGACAGGGGCTCCTCTCAGCTATCAGGGTATGGCTCTGCCGTCCCCCCTCAGGGTGGCCTCGGCCAGGACTGGCCTCAGGCCTCCTGTCCAGCACCTTGTAAGCACTTGGCCAGGTGCCCCCAGGCCCAAGCAGACTGGGGGTTCAGTGGGGGGGGCTTCCAAGGAACCAGACTGATGCTCACTCTGGGGCTCCCGGGCACCGTTGGCACGGAGCCAACCTCAAGGCCTCCCACCACGGGATGGAGTGGCCCAACGCCAGCCAGCCTCAAAGACCATGCTGGGCCTGCCCTGGGCACCCTGCTGGGCCGGCCCCCAACCTCTCAGGATGGCCTGGACTTGGGGAACGAGCCCGGCAAGCGGGGAGCCCACGAGCACCGCCAGGCACCAGATGGAGGGGCTGCATGCCCTAGGGCCCAGCGAGGGCCCCTCCTGGCCCAGATCCTCACACTACAGAAAACCCCAATGGTGCTGAAATCCTCGCCTGGCCACGCCCGGCCCCTCCCCGCTCAGGAGGGAGGTGGCAGTTCTTAACCTGTACAGTTTTATTGTACCAAGAGAGACTCGCCCTGCCCCTGTATCATAAGCCTTTAAATGGAGTCGACTTTTTAATTATATATATAAAGATAAATATATATAAATATATATAAATATAAACTTTTTAAAACTGTGAAAAAATAGCTATGAAATTATAAAAAAAAAGCGAACACATTCTGACGTGCAGAATATTATTTTTTATTTCCTGTTAGATTGTGAGTGTCTAGCACCCGGCTTCACCGGCCTCCCCAGCCCCCAGCACACCCACCGCGGCCCAAGGGTCCCGTACAGCCCCCAGGACTGAGGAGTCAGGGACAGCAGACTGAGCGAGGGACAGAGAGGGTGAGGAGCCGCCCGAGCCCGAGGTCCTGCTCGGGCCCAAGAAAGCACTTAACCAGCCCCCGAGCCTTCCAGGGACACGGGAGGCCTCGTCCAGACAATCTCGAGGGAAGGAAAAGCCAGACTTTGGTTTTGTTTTGGGGGGGACTTATTGTTTTCCTTTTTTTTTTTTAAGTTTCTTTTGGAATTTTGTTTGTTGGCAAATTCTGTGTGATCTTTTTCATAAAAAAAAAAAAAAAGAAAAGAAAAAGATTTAATTGGAAAAATCCCATTGTTTGGAGTGGTTTCTTTCAGGGGGTGAGGTGGGGTTGGTGGTTGGGGTACTGCCGGGCAGAGGTCACTGGCCACATGCAGCCATTGAAATCGGAGCTAATTTACATGAAGGAAAATTAAAAGTTAAGTTTCTCAGTTGCACTAGCCACATGTCCCATGCGCGAAAGGGCAGAACATGTCCACCATTTCCAGAAGTTCTCTCTCTCGGTCAGGGTGGGGCTGGAGGGCTTGCAGCTGAGCGCTCCCAGCTGTGCCTATTCCTGAAGACAGTGATGCTGATGGTCACAGTGGCCCTGAGTCTTCCCTTAGAGAGGGGTGGGGCGGCATCCCTGCAGTTGTGGGCAGGGGAAATGGCATTTCTGACCCCTGAACCTCAGGGACCTGGGGGAGATGGGGGTGGGGGTCTGGCTGGCCTTTCAGCACGTGCCCTGGTCAGTGTGGATGGGCTGCAGAGGACGCTCTGGACTTTGCCACTTCCGTTGTGAAGGCGGCACGGCCGTCACAGATGTGAACATGCAGAGGGCAGCTACAGGGCTCGGGCTCCCGGTGCTCTGACCGGCCGCTCTGTTGCAGAGACGCTCTCAAGTGGCACCGCCCCCTCAACACACACGGAGGCGCAGGGCGAGCGGTGTGCTGGCGCCACCTGGTGGCCAAATGTGGTACCACCTGGCATTGTCTCGGCCCACCTGGGCCCCAGGGACGCCACCTGCCCTGGAGCACGGGCAGCACTCGGGCCCACCCAACCCACCTGCTTAGGGAAAATGAGGCACAGAACAACCTGGAATTTGCCCAAATTAGCCAGGAGCTAGGGCTTGAGCCCAAAAGGCTTCAACTCCTAGGACCCGGCCGAACCCAAGGGCTGGAGCCAAGCTGCCTCCCGCTTCGAGTTTGTTTTTCTCCCCCTTCAAGTGGGCTGGAGGCAGCCACCCTCCCCTCCCAAGGGCCAAAGGAGCACAAAGGTGCTGGAAAAACCCCAAATGCTTCCAGCTCCCCCCACCCCAACCCCTCCATGCTAACCTGTCCCTGGCACACCAGGCGTGTGGCAGCCCCTGTACCTGACCCACCTGCCCATTTCGCAGATGGGAAAAATGAGGTCCCAGCCACGCGGGTACACCTTGTCCCCCCAGGACTCCGAGATGGCGGCCCACCCACACAAGCACTCCTCGGGAGGCAGCGGTGGGGCAGGCTCTCTGCCTTCATCTTTTAATGGCCAGTGCGGTACAGTTAGTGGACAGACAGGTGGACAGGACACAGCAGGGGCCAGGGTGTGGAAGGGCAGGCTGGCCTCCCCCAGGGAAAGCCGTCTTTGGCAGGACACCCCTGGAATCCCCCCACCCCGGGGCCCTGACCTCACCAACCTGGTGTTCTGCAGGGTCCAGGCTGATGTGACCCCCCCCAGACCCCCTCTACTTGCCAGGGACTCTTGGGTACGTCAGGTCCCTCTTTGAGCCTCACTGGACAGGGGTCAAGACCTAGGTCAAGGGTCAACTTCAGCCAGGGTGGGGGCCCTGCTTTGCAGCCCCCACACCTGTCTCCCTCCTGTATCACAGGCAGGTGGAGCGGGGGCTGGGAGGGTCTCGGGGGGGCTGTGCGGGGAGGCCCCGGCGTGGGGCGGGCCTGCTTTGGCGGGTGCTGCGCTGTGGACACAAGGGGCCGGCGCAGACATGATCTGAGTCCATGCGGCCCCAGGGCTACGGTTCCTTCACGACTAACGGAGATCCAGTGTCTAAGAACGGGGTCGCGGGGGAAAGACCCGAGGTCCCAAGGCCGGGACTGCCCCCTCCCCTGGGGGCCCTGAGGTTCGCGGGGAGGGGTCCCTGGTGGAGGCTGGGTCAGGCTGTGCCCTGACCAGTGCTGGGGACACAGGAAGCAGATCCCGGGTGGGGTCACCGGCTGGCGGTCTGCTGTCCCGCGTGGGGCCGCCCATGGGTCTGACCCCAGAGCACTGGCCTGGCTGGAGCTGGGGCACTGCGCAGACGGAGGGTGACAGCGGGTGTGAGACCAAACACAGAACACGCTGCTGGGCCGAGCCCTGGGCCACAGAGACACATCCAGGCTTCAGAGAACTTGGTAGAACTCGGGGCCGGAGTGGCGGCAGGTGGACCCAGAGAGGGTGGCGCTATTGGCACAGGAGGCCTGGGGCCCCAGGCACTGCAGGTGGGGAGGGGGCGCCTCTGGCCTGGGCGAGGTCATGCCCTCAGCCCCTCCCCGGGGCAGAGGCAGGGCCGGCTCAGAGGCCGGTGAGGGTTGAGCCGTTGGCGGCAGAGGTGACAAGGCAGCTGCCGTGGGCGTCCCGAGTGAGGCTGTAGGTGAAGTAGGCCACGGCGGAGCCCAGCGTCAACCCTGACATGTAGGACACGGTCATGGTGTTCCCTGCGGACAAGACTGACCTGAGGGGGTGCGGGGCAGCCGCCCTCCAGCCTCTGCGTCTTAGGGGGAAAGTGCAGGGTCACCTGCCGGCTCCCGGGAGCCCACGATGGCCCTGGTGAACATCTGGCCTCCTTGTCCTCCCGGAAACACCCTCTCCGGGGCCCGGCCTGCCTTGGGCGGGTGCTCCCGCTCCCTGAGGTCGCCGGCCCGCACCTCCACCTTTCTCTCCAGTCTCCGGTGTCCGGTGGCTTCCTCACTGGGGACACTCTGGGACGTCCAGGAGCATCCTGAACAGATGTGTCCCAAACCCGACCCAACGCCCCCATCTCAGTGAGTGGGAATGCTGACCTTCCTGCCCTGAGTAGCGGGCCCCAAACCTGGTCCCACCATCCCAATCCCACCTCCCAACCCATCCGCGGCCCTGTGGGCTTCACTGTCAAAGCAGATCCAGAATCCAGCCCCTTCCCCAGCTCTGCGGCCTCATCCTCATGGGCCTGGGCTGCAGCACCTCCCTCGTCTCCCTGTCCCCACTAAGTCTCTCCTCGCTGTCCCCCATCCCACTTCTGCTCCCACCCCTGCCTCAGGGCCTTTGCACAGGCTTCTGCTTGGATGCTGCCTCCTTGCAGCTCCATGTGCTGGCCCCTCACTACTTCCTCCAGGTCTTTGCTCAAAAGTCACCTCCTCAGTGAGGCCTTCCCGGATTGCTCTGTTCTTGTGCACAGCACTCACCCCACCCCACACATTACATTTGCTTGCTATTTGTCCTCGTATCCACTGTCTCCACCTCTGCAGTGTCAGCCCCACAGCGCTGGGAGCACTGTTTCGTTCCACTGTGTCCCCAGCCCCGCTGACAGTACTTGGCACACAGGAGGGGCTCACCAAGTAGTTGTGGAAAGAATGAACGAACGAAGTGACCACCCTGACGCTGACTTGACTCCCGGCACCCAAATGCACCTGCCTGCCCCATGGGGGGCGCAGGCTGCGGGCGCGCCTTACCTGCCAGCTCCCGCTGCTTGGGGCCCACCTTGCCGGCCGCCAGGATCATGGGCACGCTGCCGAAGTAGCCGTTGCTGACGCCCATGAGCAGGGAGAAGACGCAGGGCCAGGCGGGGTGGCGCAGGGCGGGCGTGCCGCTGGGGTAGACGCACAGGATGAAGAGGGGGATGAAGACCACGCGCAGGCAGGAGCAAGCCAGCAGGTGGGTGCCTCGCCAGGCCACGGGCAGGGCCGCCAGGATCTGTGGGAGCCAGGCCAGTGGGAGCCCTGCCCCACCCCCACCCCACCCCGGTCCAGCCCCTCCTGGCCTTGCCCACCCTGCCCATGTCCCTGCCCTCCTCCTGCTCTAACCCTCAAATACCACTTGGTTTTATTGTTTGTTTGTAAAGAGAAATACTGATTTCAATCACATCCAAGGCAAGCTCTAGGCATCTGTCATCTTTCAGCCGAAAAATCAGCAAAAACTGTTGAAACAAGGCACGGTATCCCCCCTCACTTGCTACAGCAACACCTGGTCCTTTCCATTCCATGGCAAGGTTCTGGGGGGGGGCCTTGGTCCAATTTGAGAAATGAGGACCCCAAGGCCCAGAGATCTGGCCACCTCTGTCAGCTCGCACAGCCAGGAAGCAGCACGCAGGATGTGAGCTCACTGAGCCTTGCTCCCTCTCCAAGCACAGACTCCCTTCCTGGACGTTCAGCTGTGTGACCTCAGGCAGATGGCTCCCCCTCTCTGAGCCTCATTCATTAAGACAAGGCCCACCCTGCCTGCCCAGAGCACCAGGACAGCAGCTCTGGTCCTTCTCCAGGCCCTACCCCCAGCCCTGCCTGGCACTTGTAGCAGATGACGCACTATCCTGATTCTCCTGGCTCCTTCGAGCCATTTCTGGGTGACCCTGCCCGCCGTGGGTACTCCAAGTGGCCAGCACCTGTGCTCACCCCCACGGAGGACCAGCGACCGACTCCAGCGCAGGAGGGTGAGCGCCTCGCCTGACGCTCCGCAGCTCCCCAGCGGGACCACGCAGAGGCCACCCTCCAGGGCATGCTGTCTGGGATGGCGACATTGTTGGGCTGCCACCCTCCTCACCAGGGAGCCACCCGCATCCCCAGCCTGCGACCCTCCCTGGATGGGCCAGGGCCTCCCACAGGCCCCCGGCGGTCTGCTGCCCCCGCCACGCGCCACCCCTGCCCACCTTGCCCACGAAGTCTGAGAGGTTGAACACAGCCATGATGAGGATGGGCAGCCACTCGCCCAGCATGCAGTGGCGGATCTCGGACTCCAGGCCGGGGAACAGGCACAGCGTGATGAAGTAGGTCACCGCGATGGACAGCATGTCCGCCCAGATGACCCGCGCCACCACGTAGCGGTGCAGCAGCAGGGCTGGGGGTATGAGGGGGTCAGAAGGTGGTGCCCAGGGGGCCTTGCCCGCCTCCAGCCTGAGCACCACCCCCGAGTGCAGGCGGAACGACGGGGACCCGGGCTCTCGGGGCTCGCCCTCACCTCTGAAGGTGGGCCAGCTGCGCTGGACTCTCGGCCAGGGCACGTCAAAACGCACGTAGGCGCCCCCGCTGCCGGTCACCTCATGCACTGGGCTGTCCTTCGGGGACCCGGTGGCCAGGGCTGGGGTTTGATGTTCCTGGAGGGAGGACGGTGTGGGGTGGGTTTGAGTGAAGGGCCAGGCATCCAGCTCCAGTGAGAGGAGGAGCCACACTCGGGCTGGCATTCAGTTGGCACCTGCTGTGTCCAGACACCCTCCTGCCTCACCCTACCGAGGCCTCTCAGATTCTTCCAAGGTGGCAAATTCCATCTCGCCACCCCCATGAGCCCCCTATAGGCTTCTGACCAAACCAAGCACAGCACCCCAACCCCTCGCCCAGGGGCCCTTCGAGGCCTCCAACGCTTCGTCCCCAAAACACACCAGGCTCCTCCTAGCCCCTGAGCCTCGGCACATGCTTTTCCCTCTGCCCCCAACACCCTTCCTGTGGGTCTTGGCATCTCCGGCTTCAGGTGGTCAGCCAGAAGCCCCTCTCTGGGAAACCTCTCTGACCACAAAGGGGGTCCCCAGTGTCCCTCCCATCCTTTTCTGTCCTGGGCCCATCCCTGGGCCGGGGGGCTCCATGAGGGAGGGCATTTCCAGCTCGCTCCAGTGTCCCCAGCCAAGGACCAGGCTGGACGATGCCTGTGTGACATTCTGGTTCTACTCTGCTGATGAGAGCTGGGGACCCTCACTGACAAGAACCAACGGCTCCCCCTGCCCTGCCTCCAAGAGGCCTGCACTGCTGATCTCACCTTGCAGGTGTCCCCAGGCCTCCACACCTGCCTGCCTGGCAGGGGGGGGCTATGCAGCCCTGTCGCCACCAGAGGGCGCCCCTGCTCCCCAGATGGCTGCTAACCGCGTGGTACCAAGGCCGCCCGCTGGCAGGGGTTGTCAGTGCTGGGGACCCCACCCTCACCAGAGCAAGAGACAGAGGAATTGAGTCCCTGGTCCGCCCCCTCTGCCTGTCTGCCTTCTGCTCACTCCCTCTCCCGTCGGCTCCAGTGTCCTGCCCTGGGGGAGCTGTGGGGGCCCTGCCTCTAGGTTGGGGTGAAAGAGAGCGTGAGCTTCCTAAAGTCACTGTCAGGTTGAGTCGGCAGGACGGGCCCCTGTGAGGGCTGTCCCAGCAGAGTGGGCCACAGCCTACAGGACGTGGGCTGTCCCAAGGGGATGGAAACTTTGTTCCACATAACGTGGGGTGTCATGGAGCACAGGGGCCATGCATACCCCACGTGGCAGGACACAGCAGCTGGCCAGAGCCTCAGACCACAGCCGCGGAATACCACAACTGGTGGGGCCCTAGACCACAGGATGTGTGGCGCCACAAAGGGACAACACCTTAGTCCACGGAAGCAAGCCAGAGCCTGAGACTACACGCAGAGGGGCAGGGGCACAGCAGGACAGCCAGAGGCCACCAGCTGGCTCCTGACCCAGGCGGAGGAGGCTGGGAACCGGGCGTCGCCCAGGACGAGGCGGGCACTTACGAAGTGGACGTCCCCGGTGGCCACATCGTGGTGCACGCGGTAGCCGATGCCGCGGCCCAGGCCGGCCCGGCAGCTCCTGTCGCGGGGCCGCGCGGCGTAGTAGAGCACAAAGCGGCTGCGGCGCACCAGCAGGTGCAGCAGGAAGCACAGCAGCTCCAGGCCCACAGACACGAGGAAGAAGATGAGCGTGCTGGCGTGTTCGTCAGGCAGCAGCAGCTTGGTGAGGATGCGGCTCAGCGAGATCATCACCCCCGCCGTGCCTGGGGTGGGAGGACAGTGAGCCCGGGGTTGGCAGCCAAGGTCACCTCTACTCAGCCCTGCTCCGCCTGGCCTTCCCTCAGTGACCTGCCCAGGCCCCCCACTCGGCCCGGGCCACACCCAGTGCCCCCACTCAGCCCCATCCCACCCAGCACCCCCAACTCAGCCTGACCCCTCCTCACCCCCCCACTCAGCCTACCACGCCCAGCCCCTCCCAGCCTGACCCACCCAGCCTGCCTCACCCCTCCCCAGCCCCGCCCACCCAGCCCTGCCCATTTCCCCCACTGTGTCCTGTTTTACTGGGCCGGGCCCGCCCCTCCCTCCCTTTCCCCCCATCCTCTCAAGAGTCCGTCTCATGCCCTCCCAGGAGCTGCGCACTCTGACTCGCCCCTCCAGCCGGCTCTCTAACTACACACACACACACACACACACACACACACACACACACGCACGCCTTGCCTTCCTGGAGTGCAAATGTGGGGAGGCGGTCACAGAACTCAGGTCCTGGGAGAGGCCCCTGAAGCCAGGTCTGCAGGAGGAGGGAGCTGGGGCGCAGACCCGGCCTGCGCTCCTGGCAGGGGCCAGTGTAGCTTGTGTTGGAGGAGCTGGAACCCCAGAGGGCATGAGGCCTAGGTGTGCCCTCCAGCCACTACACAGTGTCAGGCAGGGGTGCATCATAGCTGCTGTGGGCCACCCCTAAGGCTGGCAGGGCTCTGAGCAAATCTTTTTTGTGGGGCCCTCGGCTACTAAACCACCCGAATCAGCACGTCAGCACCACGTGGCAGCCCGATTTTGCTCATCCCCACAACACAACCTGCTGGGCAGCAAAAGCTATCTGCCTGCCCTGCCTTACTGGAACCCGGACCCCACAGAGGCCAGTCTAGGAGCCCCAGGACCTCCGGCCAACCTGACAGGGTGTCGGGCTGCAGAATGCCTGCAAAGGGGAGAAATGGAGGCAGAGCCACACGGGTCCTGGCCTGGGCTCAGTGCCGGCCTGGGCCACACTGTCCCTGGCCAGTATAGGCACCGGGGGAAGATTGAGAACATCTGCAAGAAGGTGCTTCAAAGCATGGGCCCAGCACACGGGGCCGGCTAAGGGCAGTGCTGGCCCTCTGCAGAGAGGGGTCAGCCGCCTGGACCAGGGGCTGCCGAGAGGGTGACAGTGCTTGGAGCAGGACTGGGCATCAGGGAAGGTTC